TTACTACTCAGGTAACTTCCAGCTGTGCATGACTCCTAGCAGGGAACATTCTAGCACCTGCCTTTTGTGGGACCTCAGAGAATCCAGCTGACTTGCGGGGCATCACAGGATTTTTTAAACTCAATTTGAGTGTGGCAGTGAGCTCTCTAGAACGTCTGTCCTCACTCCATGCACCAGCTCTGGGCAGGAGAATTCCTATCCTTGGTGTCTTCTGATTTTCTAACTTTTGCCAATCTTATCCTAAACTTATTCATGAAGAATACATCCAAAAATAGCTAGGCCAGTCTTAGAAAAAGAATAAGGTGGTGGTAATGGAGTGCTCTTACAGATATGAAGATGTGCCCCAATCTTAACCACACGGTTTCTATTACTCTGGCCTTTGGCCAGATAAACAGACCAGTGAAGCTGACTTGGACTGCTCAGATAGTCACAAGTATACATAGGGTTTTAATATGTGCTTTTGGTGACACAAGAGAAACAGAGGGAAAGGTTGGGATTATGTAATAGATGGTATAGGGAAAACTGACTCACCATGCAGACACAAATAAAACTGGGTCTTCACCTAACACCATAGACGAAGGTGTACTGGGTAGATTATGGGCTGACTTATAAAAAGTAAAACTGTAAAATTAAAAAAGAAAATGTGACTCACAGGCTACGACGGCTCCTAACTCTGTCTTCAATGGTACTAACTTTAAGGTAAACTAAAAGAATTTTGTCACAGGAAATAAAGATTTTCCTGCTCACTGGAGGAAACAGGAGGATCCTTATTTCCTTAGGATCTGAATGTATGCTAGTGAGCATTGCATATTCTAGGAGAGGGAGGAAGCCTCTGCTTCTGCGTCATTCCCATTCTACTCAGCTGTGACATTAGAAGCCTATGTGACATTTCCCCCATTCTGAGCATCTGTAGAGGAACAAGAGTCTAGATCCATGTTCTGAATAGACTGTCCATATCAGAATCACTTGGGGTTCTGTTGTTCACTTCTTTCTTTAATACATGGGATGGGAAGGAAAAATCCTTTAGAGTAAGAGCTGGCAAACTTAATAAATGTCCAAATAGTAAATATTTTTGGCTTTGCAGGGCAGTGATTGCTGTTAACTTTAATCAACTCTACTGATGATACAAAAGCAGTCTTATGCAATACATAAATGGAAGAACTGGTGGTTTCCAACAAAACTTTATTTTGTGAACACGGATATTTCACTTTTGTAATTCAGTATAACATTCATACGATTTTTATGTGTCACAAAAGATTTTTTCCTTTCAATCATTTAAAGGTTATAGGAAGCACTTACAGCTAGCAGAACCACCAGAAGGAGGTAGTAGAATCATCTTATGTAAGTGGGCTTGTCACCTCCTGCTCCAGAAAGATCCTTAGGCAACTGCACTTTGAAGACCAGCAGTTCTTTATCTTCTCAAAATAAGTAACTGCTACAGCAAATGGTTGTGGGAAATCTAGTTCCTATGTTTATGGAAGTGTGCATATCACTTGCACAGTTTTTATTTTGGAAGTAATGAATGCACAGCACAGACAGTCCAAACAGTAGAAAACTACATATGGAAAAAGTAAAATTTCCAGATCCAAACGCATCCATTGCTTTTGCCAATTTGCTGTGCATCCTGTTTGAATTTATTTATGTATATAGCTCTGAGAATACATCCTACACACCCAAGACCATGGATGCCAGGGTATGTGTACACCTCCATTTTTAATTTTTGAAATTTGTAAACTCAGGGCCTTGTACATGCTAGGCAAGTGTTCTCCCACTGAGCTATACTCCTAGCCCCACCTCCATTTTTTAATAAACACAAATAGTAATTTATTTATTTATCGCTGTGCTAGAGTTTGAGCTCAGGGCCTTGTGCTTACTAGGCAGGCATGCTACCACTTGAGCTATGCCCTCCGGCTTTTGTGCGTTAGTTATTTTGAGGATAGTGTCTTTGTGTTTTTGCCTGGGTCGGCCTGGACTATGAGCCTTCTCACTTACGCTTACTGAGTAGCTGGGATAACAAGATATGTGCTACCAAGCCCAGCTATTTGTTGGTTGAGATGGGGGTCTTACTAACTTTGTGCCTGGGCTGGCCTTGAACTGCGATATTCCTGGACTTTGCCTCCCAAGTAGCTGGGATTACAGGTAATATATATTAAATATTTTGCTAAACAGGCACATAACGAATATCAATTTCCATTGTGTTCTCTTGTCTAGTATGTCCTTATCCTTAAGGAGCTTGGAGGAGGATAATCACTATCTCAAAAAAAAAATGGTAAGGCAGTGTAGTCAAGTGTAGTAATAATGTGATTCAGTTCATAACTGCCTCAGACATGGGAGAAGTTGGGGTGGTTGGGTGTAGCCCTGGAAAACTACAGAGAAATAAGTATGCAGAGTGATTGAGAAGAACTTAAAACACAATGCCAAGAGGGAGCATGTCTAAGAAGGGAAGAGGGAGTAGCATCAGCGTGACGGGTCCAGCAGGAGCCAGAGCACAAGGTCACATAAGGTAAGGGGCGTAATTGCGTAGTGTAGTGCCACGAGTGTGCATGTGTGCTTTAGTGACTGGCTTCTCTCACTTAGCACAGTGTTCTCAGGGTTCATTGACGTCATGCCGTATGTTGGTACTTAATTCCTGTTTATAGCTGAATAATATTCCATCAGAGGGATTTACCAGCTTTTGTTTATCCCTTCATCATTTGATGAGCATTTGAATTTTTTGCACTTTTGGCAATTATGAATAATGTTGCTATGAAAATTCATGTCCAAGTTTTTGTGCAGACATGTTTTATTTCTCTTGGGCATACACTTCAGAGTGGAATTGCTGGGTCAAATGGTAATGGCTAACATTTGGAGGAATTGCAAAACATTTCGAAAGTTACTGTACATAATTTTATATTCCAGTGTAGCCATCATTTGTTGTTTTTTATTGTAGTCAACACAGTGGGTATGAAGTGTTGTCTCATTGAGGATTCAACTCTCATTTTCTTTTTCTTTTTTTTTTTTTTTTTTTTGTGGAACTGGGGTTTGAGCCACAGCTCTAGTCCATTTTGCTCTGGTTATTTTGGAGAACTATGGTCCTCCTGATCGCAGCCTCCCAATCAGCTAGGATTATAGGCCTGCTCTGCCAGCACTGACTTAGTTCTCGTTTTTTAGTGGGTAGTGTTTGTTGGGCTTCTTTTCATGTGTTTATTGACCATTCATATTTGCTGGTGGGGAAATATCTGTTTAGGTCTTTTGTTGACTTTTAAAAGTTCTTTATATTCTAGACAAAAGTTCCTCATCAAATACATGATTTGCAAATACTTTTTCTCCATTTTGTGGGGTTTTTTTTTTCCTTGATATTGTCTGCAGTACAAAAGTCTTGTTTTGGTAACGTCCAATTTATCTATTTTTTCTTGTGTTGCATGTGTTTTGGAGCTGTATCTAAGAAACTACTGTCTAACGCAAAGTCACAAAGGTTTATTCCTCTGATTTCTTCAGCGCTTTGTCATTTTCTGCCCATACCTTTAGGCCAGTGATCCAGTGTGAGTGAGTTAGTGTGTGTGTGGTGTGAGGAAGGTATCTAAATTCACTGGTGACATGTGGCTATCTCCCTGCCCATGTCCCTCTGCTATCTGCCGTATTTGGCACTATTTCACCGTTTAGTGGCTTTGGCACTCTTAACAAAGCCAACTGACCACAAGTGGTAAAGGTTTATTTCTGGGCTCCCAGTTCTGTCTTACTGATGATACATCTGCCCATATACCAGTACCACACTGTCGTAATTTCTGTAACTTTGCAGTCACTTTTGAGATTGAAAACTGTGTCTTCCAACTTTATTCTTTTTCAAGATCGCTTTGGCTGTCTTCTTGGTCACATGCATTTTCATACAAATTTTAGAATCCACTTGTCAATTTCTATTTGTTTTTTGAAATTCTAGCTGGGTTCTTATAGGGATTGTATTGAAACTAGTCCGGTTTACGAAATAGTTCTATTTCAACAATGTTAAATTTCTCATTCATGAGCATGAGATGTCTTTGCACTTGTCTAGGTCATCTGTAATTTCTTCAGTGGTGTTTTGTAGATTCCAGAGCACATATTTACACTTCTTTTGTTAAATTTATTCATATGTATTTTATTTTTTTTTGATGTCATTGTAAGTGGAATTCTTAAAAATTGTATTTTCTGATTATTAGTAGTATAGAGTAGATTTTGAATCCTGCAGCCTTGCTTAGTTCATTTATTAGCTCTAATAGTTTCTTCATGCATTCCTTAGGATTTTTCTCTGTGTCACCTGCAAATACGGCTTTACTTTTCCAGTCTTCTTTCTTTTTTTGCTTCTTTTCTTTCTTTTCTTGCCTAATTGCCCTGGCTTGAGCTTCCAGTATACACACTACTGAATAAAAAATAGTAAGTGGACGTGTTTGTTTTGTTCCTGATCTTAGAAGGAAAGCACTCCGTCTTTCACCAATTATTGTGTTGGCATTGGGTTTTTCAGTATTGTATGTGTAGATACACACACACACACACAGAGACATACGCAAATGTAGTACTGGGATTTGAACTCAGGGCTTGATGCTTGCTAGGCAGGTGCTATACCAGTTAAGCAGCACCTCCAGGCTGGCCTGGACAGTGATCATGCTATTTAAGTTCCCACTGTTGCTGGAATGGTAGGCATTTGGCACCATGCCCAGTGTATTACCACTGGGATGGGGTCTTGTAAGCTCTTTTTTGCTCAGACCGGCCTGGAATGAAGATCCTCCTGATCTCAGCCTCCCACTGCATTTAGCTATTGGTTGAAATGAAGTCTCCATAACTGTTACAGGCACCCAGTCCAACAGTGTGTTTTTTAAGAGCCAAGATTTTTAATTTTGGAGAAGCCAGTTTATCAACATTCTAAAAATATAGTTCATGCTTTCTGAAACCTTAAGAAAGCTTTGCCTATCCAAGGATTACAAAGATTGTTCTCCTATTTTTCTTACAGAAGTTTTATAGTTTCAGCCTTTGAAGTTAAGGGAATTGTTCATTTCTGTTCACAATTCAGTTTTGAGGTTTAAATGCCTGTAGAGAGTTGGTTGAGAGAGGAGGCATGTGTTGCTATGCTGTTTCTTTGGTAGTGAGGGTACTGGTGAAGATAACTGCTTGTAAGCCTGAAGTCTTGTTTTGTGCAGTTTTTGATGGGCATCTCCCTGTGACTGCCTGTGATGCTCATATGTTATTGGTCTACCTAACATTCTTTTGGCACCAACCCTCCTTATTTTACAACGATTTTTTCCACTCCTCGTGGGTCAAATGTGCCTTCTTCTGTACCCCACTCCCACCCCAGCCCTGGCTCCCCAGAGCCCTTCATCTCTCTCCTCGCAGTGCATGGGTTCAGAGCAAGGTATTTGGCGCCATCTGAGCTGACTAGAGCCATGGCACAAGTATTCAGAAGGTCTGTTTTGAAGGCTCTCCCTTTTCCCGAGGCACCTGTTGGTTGGATTTGAGTCCAAGCCGTGCTGTGTGGAGAGCCTGTTTCAAAGTGAACTCAACCCCAAGTTGAGACTTGGTGAGGATCCTTCCTTGGGATCCTGAAACCTCCCGTGATCTTTCAGTTATGTGGGCCAACCAATTCTTTGGGTGTTAAGTATCTGTTCTTGTAACTGAGAAAGTCCTACTAATAAGCTAGTAATCTTTTCAAAAGGTCTGGTATAGGACTTCAGATATAATTAATAGGCGAGCAGTAATAAAAGAACAGTAGTATTTGTGTGATGGGAAGAGACCGTCCCCTTTGGCTTTCACACAAGCTAGGAAAGTCTGTTAAAAACCTGCGGTCATGGTACTCCTTTTATGGAAAACTAAGTTCAAGTTCTCAGTTCAGGAAAAGTTAGCTGAATTAAATGTCTGCCTTTAATGAATATGTAGATTAATTATTGAACTGAACAACTTCTTGATAGTATTTGATGTGAGAATGAAATGACTGTATAGAGGGTCCACTTTCATGAAGGCAGATAGTTTCTGACAAGTCAGAATTTCCAACTGTAATTGTTAGTACTTTAGTGTTATAATTATTTTATGAAACTGTATCCTTGAAATTAAATAAGGAATATGTTTCAACTTAAAAGTTTCACAGCATTTATTTCAGGTGTGTAACAGAGAGAGAGCAAGTGTCGTGTGTGGTGGTGACATTAAAATGAGCTTAAACAATCTTTGGGCATCTTGAGCATGTCTCTGCCTTTCTTATTTGGTTGGCTAAGGACAACCTTCTACATCTAATAAGCACTCCCACCACTCTTACTAGTTTATATTTAAATTTTATTAAATTGATACTTCTTAGTTGAGATAATGTAAGTTATTTTTGTGTTGTTGGATTTCATTATCATACTTTAATGATACGGAATTGCACTGTATTAATTTTGACTTTGAAGTTGAAAAGATTAACTGTTGGTTATTAGAAGACAAAAATGTAGCCTTAGATTTTTGTAACAGCTGTTAACGGATACTCAGTTAAGCAGTCATTATTTCTCCCATCCAAGTACTAACCAGGCCCGACCCTGCTTAGCTTCCAGATGGCCATAGATGAACAACCATTATTTCTGTGGAAGACTTAACAGTTGTTACTTTAAAAGTAATTATGTGAAGCAGGGCATGGTGGTACATACCTGTAATCCCAGCTGAGGCAGAAGGGTCATGAGTTCCAGGCCAGCCTGGGCTACATGGTGAGAACCTGTCTGAAAAACCAGAAAAAAAAAATTGTGTGCATAAACAGTGCTTTGGGGTTCAAAGGCACTTTGTATCATACAGTTCTGGAGGTTCAGCTCAGTGAGGTGGTTTGTGGGATACATCAACACGTTTTCTTTTCCAGGTGGGGAAACAGCAGGCTGAATTAGAATTTGTACCCTGTTCTGGTTGTCAAGTTCCCTGTGTGGTTAGTTATTCCCTTAAGTACACTTTTAAAGCTTCAAAAAGCAGTGCAGCCCTTTCTTAAAGTATTTAAGACTTAAAGCTTGTGGTTTGAAAGCCGTTCATTACATTACAGTAAGGCATTCTTTTCCTAATGTGTTGCTGGGGGCCAGGCTGAAATAGAAGAGCTCCTACATAGCATGAGCAAGGCACTGAGTTCAAACCCCAGTACCACCAATAACTAACTAATTGAATAAATAAGTAAATGATTTCCTACTAAATTTGTATCAGATTCTGACTTGGCCCTCTCCCTTTCTTCTCCCATTAATGCCTAGTAAAGTCACTCAAGCCATCATAGACCCAAACTCTTCCCTGAAATACTTCTCTTTATACCATACAATGAGAGTTCCCATTGGGTTTGCTCGTGAGGAATAAGCAGGGAAGGAAGGGCTTTAGAAAGGTGAGAGAGGGGGAGGGAGGTCAGAGGTAAAGGGAGAACCTGAACGTTAGTGTCATGTGTTAAGACTTTCTAAAAGGCAGGCCCTTGAACAAAAGGTTGAGAGGAAAATGGGAAATGCCATTTAGTTTTGAGGCTGAGAGGTTCACGATAGTGTGTTGAGGTGAAGTAAAATTGCATCACATGTGGATGGGTTTGTGCATAGGGAGAAGCAGCACAAAGTTGACATTACACGGGGCAGAAGAAAGCTAGCCCAGGAGCCTGATGGGGGGAGGAGGTAATATTCAGGAGTGTG